GAGCAAGGTGGTGGGAGGAGGAAACTCGACGAGAGCGGCGACCTTCGAGGGGTCCATGCGGATACCATCAGCAGAGACAATGTTGCCAAGGCACTCCACGCTCGAGGCGGCAAAAGTGCATTTGCTAAGCTTAGCGTAGAACTTTTGCTTGCGGAGGATGGAAAGGACCTTCTCGATGCGCTGAAGGTGGGACTCGAAGCTGGGACTGAAGACAAGGATGTCGTCGAGGTAGATCACGACACAGACTTCAAGGAGATCGTAGAAGATGTGGTTCATGGTGGTGTACTGGAAGGTTGTTGGGGCATATGCGAGGCTGAAAGGCGTCACTAGGAACTCGTAATGCCTGAAGCGAGAGCGAAAGGCAGTCTTGTGGGTATCTTCCTCACGAATATGGATCTGGTGGAAGCCGCTACGAAGGTCAATCTTGGTGAAGTATTTGGCTCCACGGAGGCGATCAAGAAGTTCAGATATCCAGGGGAGTGGATACTTATTCTTGATGCTGATCTAGTTCAAGTCTCTGTAATCCGTGCACATGCGGAGCTCCGAGGTGTCGCCCTTTCTTACGAAGAGAGCTGGTTCCGAAGGGGGATGAACTAGGCTTAATGAATCCGTTTTCAAGGAGTTCATTAAGCTGGCGCTTCATCTCTTCGGCTTCGGGGACGGAGAGTTGGTACGGAGGGCGGCAAGGAGGAGAATGGTTGGGTTTGAGGTCGATGGTGTGAGATACATTGCGATCGGGTGGCAAGCCAGCAGGCAAGGACTCGGGGAAGACGTCCTTGATTATGAGAGGAGAGAGGTGATTAAGGGTCGGATGGGGGGGCTTGGTCGGGTTTGTCCGTTGGGATCAAGTCCTTACGATGCTCGCGGTCGATGACGAGGCAATAGTAGGTGGAGTCAGGGTATTGGCGAGACATGTGGAGGAATTGGTGGGGGGAGACGGGGGGCGGGGTGGTAAGGGGGAGAATGCTAGGGATGTCAAGGGTAGAATTTGGAGTAGAAGAGAGGTGGACGAAAGAGGGATAGAAAGAGTAGGGCATGGAGCGATCAATCCAAATAGTTCCCAGGACGACGTCGCACATGAGGTGCATGACGTCGAAGGAGATCCGACTGCGGAGGGAGCCGACAATCATGGTGACCTCGGGGGAACTGTGCAATCGACAACGACGGTTGAGTCCTTGTCCCCTAAGCGAATGGTGATTGGGGAGTCTTAGCCAGTTGAGGGGAGACCGACTTTGCGGACACAGGCGTCGGTAGCGAAGTTGCCGTTAGGCACGCCATCGAGAAGGGCCCAAAACTTCACCGTCGATGCGCCGAGGGAGATGGATATGAACTTGAGTTGGAACTGGGCGGTTTCGACACAAGCGGCAGAGATGAGGTTGTTGAGGCGGCTCTGTTCGGTGCCTAGTCTAACAAGTCGGTCGTGTCGAGCTTGTTCCTCAACAACATCGGAGAAGGTGATGTAAGAGGGGTTAGGGAGAAGGGTAGAGGAACACGTGCCAGTGATGAGGTCGACCGACGGGGTGAGAGACGTCGTCAGGAGGGGGGCAGGCAGAGTAAACTGCGACGCCCGAGTGTCATCCGGTGGGGTATGCGTCACCGGCGGTGGGGGTGGCAGACGGATCGTCGATGCCAATAGAGGGGCCGGTTGACTTGTTGCCAATGCTAAGGCAAGGTCGCGGCAGGCAAGGGGACGGTGTTCATGTGTGGGAGGGTCCCGATGTCGCGGATGGTGGGGTAGTGGAGGTCCCGTGGAACGGGGAGCGTGTAGGGTGACCTGGCCAGAGTTGGGGCAGCTGGTTTGCTGGTAGCCCAACTGACGACACCGGAAACAGCCATTGTGGGCTTGGAGGTAGGCATGTTCCTCCGGGGTGAGCTTTGTTAAGCGAGGGGACGAGGTGGAAGAAGATGCGCGAGCCTGGCGGTTCCCGTGGTCCATCGTGAGGAGATGGATATTGTTGACTTCTTTTGGGGTGAAAGATGAGGGGTCGATAGAGGTGGACTTGGTGTTGGGGTCGGGTGTGGAGAATTCATCCGATATCATGGTGGAGGTGTCGCTAGAAGCAATGTTGTGGAAGAAGCGTGTTCGGGAAGGGACGGAGGGGATGGCGGCCTTGTGAGTTGAGAGGAGACTGTCGATGTGGAGAATGCAGGAAAGAAGATCGGATAAGGTTGTGGTGGGTTCGTGGATGAGGGCGGCAGTGATTTCGCGGTTGGAGACCCGTTTGAGGGGGGAGATGAAAGTGTTGTCGGCGATCAGGTGGATGGGGATATGGTGTCGTAGTCAGCGAACGTATTGGACGTAACGGTCGGTGGGGCCGTTTTGGCGAAGGCGACAGAATTGGTCGATGTAATCATCGATGGTCCTTTGTGGGCGGCAGGTGGTTGTAATCAGCGTAGTCCACTCAAGGAAGGAGTACGAGGGATGTTGCTTAGTTGGCAGTTGGCGACTTCGGTGAGCCACCAGCAGGCGGCGTTGGCGAGGAGTCGTGTACTGGCTATGGGTAGCCAGTGGACGACGGGGACGGTGTGGAGATAGAAAGCTTGTTGGAGTTGGCTGAGGAAGAGAGAGACATCCTCATTGGGGTCACCAGAAAAGGTTGGAATGTTGTTGGGACGAAATGAGGGAGGGATTTTGCCATAAGTAGGGACATGGGTGGCGAGTGCGTTGAAGTTGAGGGTGGGTGAGGAGTTAACGAGGAGCGTGAAGTCCTGTTGGGGGTTTGTTGGGAGGAGGGCGTTCGGGGGATGTTGGGGGAGAGCGGGGTGTGACACGGCGGTTCCTTGGGAGTAGGTGGGCATCCGGAGGGAGGTGACGATGGATGGTGTAGAGATGGGTTGTGAGAGGGGAGGTGTGTATACGGATGGGGTGTCGAGGAGATGGGGCGGCAATTGGGCAATGAGGGGGTTGGATGAGGGAGGAGGTGGATGGGACACGCCGGTGATGGTCGTTGGGATGGGGGTGGTGGAGGCTGGGGGGGCGGATGGACCRGCGGTGGAGGTAGAAGCGGTAGAGGTGGGAGTGGAAGTGGGGGCGAGAGGACATGGGGGCAGACTAGAACCCAACGTTGAAGTGGGAATCGTGGTGGTGACCAATTGGATGGAAGGGGTCGATGTTTGTTCTTTGTTATCTATCCGGTTGGAGAGGCCGGAGATGGAGGTGGCAAGGGAGGATTGGAGGGGACAGATGGAACCCGACGTTGAAGTGGGAATCGTGGTGGTGACCACTTGGATTGGAGGACGTGGGGGCAGACTGGAACCCGACGTTGAAGTGGGAATCGTGGTGGTGACCACTTGGATGGAAGGGGTCGATGTTTGTTCCATGTTAACTATATCCGGCTGGAGAGGCCGGAGATGGWGGTGGCGAAGGAGGATTGGAGGGAACGGATGGCGTCTTGCATGGATTGCATCATGGTGAGTAGGGAGGTGTTGGTGAGGGTGACTTCAGGTGCAGGTTGGTCTGTTGTGAGGTCACGAAGGAGGCTGTCTACGGATGCGGTGTCAATGGCGCTCATGTTGATGCTTGAGGAACCGTCYGCTATTGTGGAGGGAGAGGGGGGCGCGAGGAAATAGATGTAGCGGCGGAGGCAGTAGCTGCAGCGACGTTCTCAGAGGCCCAGGCGGTGGCACGCAGAGAAGTCTTGGTGCAGCGGGTCATGGAAGAGAAGATGATGTGTGAATTTTGCCGATTTTTTTGGTATTTAAATTTAATATTTTAATGCATTTTTAAAGAAAAAAWTCGAAAAAAATATGGGGGAGTTAATTGAAATCGGATTTGAAATTTCCAAAATTAATTAATTCAAAAAAATGAAATTTTTATTTAATTTGAATGAATTTTTAATGAATTTAAACTTAATTTAAATGAATTTAGAATATTTAATATGGTTTTAAATGCAAATGAATTTAGAATATTTAATATGGTTTTAAATGCAAGGAATATGAGTGTAAACGATACACAGAAAACCAAGTTGCGAAATCACACAGATGTCCAGGTAGTCGTGTCCAAGCAGAGTACAAAATGCACTGAGAAACCATCCATATAGAGCAATACAATGAAGTAATGAGCCAATGTTCAAGCTCATAGGCCACACCAACACAGTATCCAAAGTCRCTCCTCTCTGTCTGGCGCCCAGCGCCCAGCCTACTCTACTCGACTAACCTACCTACAGCTGGTTCACGCAACAGGCTCACTTCAATTCTCGAAGACCAATGTACATGACTGTCAACGCCATAGCCGACCTCTCTTCATGTACCAGGCACGTATCTCGTCACCCTCAATCATACCTTGATTACCCCACACTGCGTCTCCTTCCCTGAAGACAACCAGATYGCTCRCCCAACAGCCCGACTATGGCTGCCTGCGCCCCGCTGCCCTGCAGCGCCCCTCCTCACCACTACGCGCCCCGTCAGCGCCCTTGGCAGCAGCGCAGCATCAAGCGAGAGCGCAGCAGCACTTCCGCATTGCCTGCATTGGCCAGAATGCCTGGTCTGGGCTGCCTCACTTCTTTTATGGAAGTGGCAACCTGCTGGATGTTGTGTGCGGCCTGGCTGGAAGCTTCCAGTAGCTTCTGGTTGGGCCTCAGACCCTGCGCCCAGGCCCGAGACTACAGTTGAGGGTCTGGGCCCTTCTCAGTTGGGCACGGCCTGAGTCTCCGAACTTGGGCTGTTTGCTGCATCTGTGCAGGGCTCCCAGGCAGKTGCATCRGCMGCTCTGTTTTTCCAAAGGCCGATGGCCTGCTTCCCAATGTATCGGCCCTGCTTTGTGTGTATGTGCCCGGCGCAACTGTCTAGGCCTGGGCCAACTCTATGACGCAGATTAGTGAGGCTCACGCGTCTACCCAACCAACTCGAGTGCTGCAAGAGCCTGGATACCCACATATGAGAATGTCCAATTTTGGCCTYTGACGAATATTCAGGCCCGCCTTTGCTTAGGGGGGGCACTCGGCTTGCTGGGGGCCTTAGCCCATAACATGTGATGTCTGATAGGGCCCCTTGAGGGCTTGTTCCTCACATTCCATCCCCCTTAGCTTCGAAAGTCCGCTGAGATGCTTCATGCTGGYGCCTTCCCCTTCAGTTTCTTCTCATAATCTGCCACGATCTGAGGAGTTGTCTTCACAAGTTSCTCCCTTGAAATCCATCGATCTTCCTTAGGATCCCTATGATGCCTGAAATGTACTTTGTACTCCCTTGCCGGTTTAGTAGGTCTTCCCTTGCCAGGTGGCTTGGGAACAGGCATGTCTCTGTGATCCAAGATGTCGTCGACGTCCAYGTGGCCTTGGGAACAGGCATGTCTCAWAGATCTTCGTGATGGGAACTGGGCTGTCTCAGCGAAAGGTGCAAGCTTGGAGGCGTGAAAAACAGGGTATGTGCGTAAGTGACCAAGGATACGAATGACGTACGGGGGACCATCCAGACTTCCCATGGACCGAAATACTGAGTTATKAGTTTCCTAGAGATGTCAAACTCCTGTCCCAACTCACTAGCCTTGACCCAGACACGTTCCCCTACCTGAAATGTGGACTGTCGACGACGTTTTTTCTCAGGAGCAGTCAGAGCTTCCTAAGATTTCTTGATGTGTTCGACAGTYCGCTGAAACAATTTCTCATACTGGACACCAAATTCAA